ACTTCTCACTCTCTCCACCCCACCACTCTCTCACCCACTCCCCACTCACTCGCCCACTCACCCACGTCGCCCACTCACTCCTCACCCACTCGCCCACTCACTCTCCTCCCTCTCTCACTCGCCCACTCGCTCACTCACCCACTCTCTCTCACCCACCGCCCTCACTCTCACTCCCCCTCCGCCCCTCACTCTCTCACCGCCCACTCCTCTCCACAACACTCTCTCACCCACTCGCCTCACTCACTCTCTCACCCACTCGCCCGCTCTCTCACCACTCGCCCACTCACTCTCTCACCCACTCGCCCTCACTCTCTCTCACCTCACTCGCCCTCACCCACTCTCTCTCACCCCACACTCCCCACTCACTCTCTCACCCACTCGCCCACTCACTCTCTCACCCACTCGCCCACTCACTCTCACTCACCCACTCGCCCTCACTCTCTCACCCACTCCACTCAACCCACTCGCCCCTCACTCTCTCCCCACTCGCCCACTCACTCTCTCACCCACTCGCCCACTCACTCTCTCACCCACCGCCACTCGCCCACTCACTCAACCACTCATCTCTCACCCACCGCCCACTCTCTCACCACCTCGCCACTCACTCTCTCACCCACTCGCCCACTCACTCTCTCACCCACTCGCCCACTCACTCTCACACCCACTCTCTCACCCAACTCGCCCACTCACTCTCTGCCACTCGCCCACTCACATCTCATCTCACCCATCTCTCACCCACTCGCCCACTCACTCTCTCACCCACTCGCCCACTCACTCTCTCACCCACTCGCCCACTCACTCTCTCACCCACTCGCCCACTCACTCTCTCACCCACTCGCCCACTCACTCTCTCACACGCACACACATTTCGACACTGGTGTGTAAGATGCAAATCCGCGAAAATCAAAACCATCCGGCCTTCAGGTCAGGCCGCCAAATGCTGAAGGGTCGTGCCTGCCGCAAACCAATGCCCGAGAAGGCCCCTTGTTTAAAGAGCTTGGCCTTTTACAGGCTTCTATGGTGGTTCCAGGGGTGGGTCAGGGTTCTACCGGAAATTCTCTAGATCCTTGGCCCAATTTTCGGAAAAGACATGAATCTTCCGAAAAAGCATTCCTGGTTTAGGGGCCCCGGCTGACTTCTGCCTGCCTCAGAGCCAGGAATTCTCCGAGAGGTCCACACTTCCACCAGGCGGTTGTGCGAGATCACTTTGATGGCGAAGCGCCCAGCCTGGCTTTGGTTCTCCTTTTGGTGTGTGTGTGTGTGTGAAGGACTTTTATTTGTCTCAATGGGCAAATCAGCTAAAAAAAGCACAGCCCCATTGAATCGCAGAGTTGTTCGTTGCCTGACAAATTGAATTGCAGGTAATCTGCCCCTACGAGGCCAAGATCTGCCCCGAGGCCAACACGTGCCTGCTTTTTCTCATGTCCATTTTGGGGATCCAGTGCCTAGCCCGCAAGTCTTCACCATGATTCGCTCGGCTTTCCTCGAGATTGATCTGCATCTCCTGCAAAGCAGCCGTTGGAGAAGGTGCTGCCTCAGAAAACACGCGCACTAGAAACATGTAAGCTTGCTTCCCCCAAGAAACATGGAACGTTTGGCCGGGCCCCTGGTTTTTGCGGGAAATTCGGGTGGGCCCTCACATGTCTCCTCGTAACAATAGACTACCAGTATTGCCGGTTGTGCTGGATAGCGAACAATCTACAAAACAAAGTTGTCCAACATTGCCAACATTTCTTCCCTTGTCTCAAAACAAGAAATGGGAGGCAATACAGAATGTTGATGTTGCGAGAACAACAGACACCAATTTACTAAACCAATGATGCCAACAAACCACCCGGCCAGTACATAGGACAACTCAACCAATACTAAACAATACTGGGCCAGCCCCAAGGAATAGTAGGCAATTCGAAACCATGTGGCTAAGCACTACTTGCTCGAGCAGGCTCAACTCTAGCCCTCAGTTTGCTTTTAGGGCTTTGCCAGTTGACCCCCCCGAAGCCCTGCACTGATCAGTACCCAGCAGGTAGTTTGTCAGATCATGTCAGCTGCGTTTGCCAGCACCCAAGAGCGCGGCATCAAGGGCATCTTCCGCCACATCCACTTCATCTTCCACCTCAGCTTGTTTCTGGGCTGTTCAAAATTGCATAATCATTATTGGAAAACAATTATGTCTGCTAAACTATGTTGTAGCCCAAGGATTAGCCAACTGAACAGCTTCTCTCTCCGGCGATTGGAGAGCTAGTTGTTTGAGGCATGGGCAACGCTCCCTGGAACCGTCGCCATCAGCTTCAGGAAGTTGTCCAGTGTCACTGGCATGACCCTCGGCTGAATTCGATCATGAGAAATCTTGGCCGTTGGACATCCCTGTTTGGGCTCGCAATTTTATCTGACCATGGCACACACACACGCACATCGCTTGAGTTTCAAGCTCGGCGGTTGCCTGGCTGTTGAGCCTGGGAGCACCAACTGCAAAGCCGCGTGTGAGCCACGTGTCGCGGGCCTGGCTGCAGCCAATGCCAACCGCCCAGCTTCTGCTTGATCTAGTCCAAATTGTTGAAGCCTCATAACTTCTCTGTGTTTGATTCTAGCTTCATGAATCCAAAGCCACGTTGACATGTTCGCTGGTTCATAAGCCCCACACACTTGGGATAGCTCTTGCACGCTGATGTGCAAGCACCTTCGCCCAGCCTCTCAAGCGGAGCTTGCCAGCTGCCACACAGAGCATCGCTCGCCTGCAGTGAGAAGAGCTGCTTCACAGAGGTTCTGCGCCGACGAAGCACCGCCTTCACCTCACCAACAATCTGGCTGCATGTGATTTTCATGGTACCTTTTCCAGGTGGGTTTGCACCAAAAGCATCACACCACATGTCCACACATACACATGGTTGTTATGGTTTATTCACGAATCACATACACGCAGTAGATTCGTCTTTCCAGGGAAAACTGGGTCGAACCCTCCAATCAAGTCTGCCTTGGTGATGGAGCTCTCAAGGCGCGCCTGGCATAGATTTGGCAAATATCTCATCATTTTTCACTGGACAACTGGTCCCTGGTGAAGGGAGTCTTTTGCTTCGAGTTGGTTCCCGCTGTCTCATTCCTGCCACAAGTTACTATCCTCACTTTCTCATCCCATGCCCTCTGCAAACCAATTGCAAACCAATGGTAGATCAATCTGACTCGTGTGGAGCTGGCAGGCTTGGGGCACTCAAGTGGCCTTCTGTCGGATAGCTGGCGGCAGTAGCAGGCTGGCAACGGAGAGGGCTGGCACCTGAGCCGATGTTCAGTGGGCATAGATATTATCGTGGGTCTTTCGAAGGGGTCAAATTCAAGCCTCTCCTAAATACCAGGAACGAATTACAGAACAAGAAGTATGTCACATGCTTACAGCTTGCAAACAAATGCTACATTGCGAGCCTACAAATTCAGGGCACGCAACGGTTCGCGCATTGTCAACAACGCCGTGATGCAAGTTTGTGACGCTTCATGTCTGATGTCTGCCACTCACTTGGGGGGGGGTTGTCGCAGTCTTGTTTTCGGGGCCTTCTGGCATCCCTCTCAAAAAGGCAGCGCAAAGCGACACTAGTCGCAAAGGGGTCATGTCTTCTGCAAGCCACTTGAATGCCTTGGCCTCGGGATGCCTCAGGACGAGCGACGCTGAGCTTCCTGCCGGACGCTGTGCTCGGCGTCTGCAGCGCCGCACCTGCTCCCACCACTCCAAGCGCCTGCGGCAACTCAACAGCTGCCTGACGTGTGCCGTGTGTGGTGTGTGGTGGGTGTGTGTGTGTGTGTGTGTGTGTGTGTGTGTGTGTGTGTGTGTTTGTTTGTTTGTGGGGTGTGGATTGACCTTACCCCCCCCTAATTTGGTGATTTGGATTGTTGTCTGGAGGTTAGAGGGTAGTGTCTCATTTACCCTCTGCCAAAGCCAGGGGTTCAAATCCCCACACTACCAGCTATGTGTATCTATGTGTTTGAGGCTTGAAGGGAACCAAAGGGAAACGAACAGGACTGCCTCCTATTACCCTCCGACGACCGGGGATTTGCTGTCCTTGTGTGTCATAGAATAAGACTCCAAATCAGCGGGCTATGGTCATGCTTCTCACAGCAGGAATTCTCGTCATGGTCGAAATTCCCTTGGTCAACTTTCAAGAAGCAGGTCTTTTGACTGTGGCATTGCGTGTGAATAAGGAGCCTCCCTCGGCAGGCAAAATATCTTCGGACTGGGAACCCCCCCAGCTGAAGGTCTGGCAGCCATATGGCTCAAATTTAAACACTTTGGGTTGCGCAGGTTTTAGGCATTGGTTCCATTCGCCAAGGTGCCATTTTAGTACAACTTTTTGACCCACAGCCACATAGACACTTGGCCAAGCCACTCATCATGCTTGCTCTGGATGGTGACGTCAACTGCGCAGAGCTCTCGCGCACTGAAGGAGGCCTGCGACTGTGTGCAGTGTGTCACCTAGATCTTCTGTCATCTTGCTCTGAATGCTCACAGGGGTTCAATACTTTTTACGAGCTGAATCTCTAGCCTCTGAGTCGACAAAGCGGCACAGCTGTCCAGCCTCACTCACAACCCTTCACATTCCAAGTGCATTTGGCTGACAAATCCGGAAATCCGAAGGGACCACGTTCGTTTTGTGTCTTCTGGACCACACCAAGCCGGAAGTTCGACTCTGAGTCGCCGTCGGCATATGACTGAAATGAAGGTCCCAAAGAGAAGTCGTTGCTGGTGTCCAACGGCTGGTTCTCCAAAGCTGCAGGTGCTCTCCTCAGCCAAAACGCTTGCCTCCTATGAGTTTATGTCAAGAGAAAAGGACGCCACTCACTTTGGGGGTCCCGCTGCTTTGATGTTGCATATATGTATATATGATATATTTGTAAAATACCTTGTATTCTATACACGTTCATGTTTTTCTCCCTGGATCTGAGGTGCGGTCAATGCAACTCCCAGGGCAAAGTGCGGCCGCGAGTGAAGGACCTGACTACTCACTCAGCTCGATTCAAACTGCCTACCCGGCAATGGGTGATTTGGTTTCTCTAGGCAAGGTGAAATGGGGGTGATCCAAAACAAAACACAGACCCTGCCAAGCTCGTGGCTGCTCTCAGGTGCCTCAGTGAGATTCCCTGAGGCTTAACCCACACAGTTTCCGTCAAATGCAACGGTGTCTCATTGTGGGCCCCCCTTGGTTGGCATTTAAAGGGGATACCAAAACCACACCAACCTTTTTTTACAGGGGGGGATTCTTATTTTGAGAACCCCGTTTTGAGCGACATGAGGTCAAGTGGGAGATCCGGCCCTGCCGAGCGGCTCAGCTTCGAAGAGCGACACCAGGCAGAAGAATCGTCCATTCTGCATGGGACACCTAAGCGTGCCAGTCCGACAGAAACGCACAAGGCGTGGTTTCGTTTGCGAAAAGGGCAAACAGAACATGACCTTACATGACAGCGCCAAGTCACAAGGCCGAAAGCCCAAAAGCCGAGCCCCTTGCACAGGGGATTCTGCAGCCACGAGACGCCGGAGCTCTGATACAGTCCTGGTCGGCGCGATACATTTTGCACCAACAATGGGTCTTTCCTACAAGCATTTTGTCACTTTCAAGTCAGAACTATGCTTTGTGAGCCAGTCTTTGGGGGGATGTTCTGTCGTGGTTTCTTCAAGCCGCGATTCTTGCCGAGAATATCACGGTTTGATGATCATTCCCCTCAACCTGGCTGACCACCTCTGTTGCTGCTTCATCATGCCAGATTTGACAAAACAAATATTCTTCGACGTGACTCCAAAGCAAAAGAGTAGGGATGAGTGCAAATATTCTGGACACGAAAGAACGTGCTAGGGGTCCTGACTTGACAAACTTCCTTAACAAATGACTCCATGGTACTCTTCAATCTTGGCTCCTGGGAACGCTGAAAGCTCCACTCGGGCCAGGCTGGAGGGAAATGTGCAAGCCTCCGCATGACAGACTCGCCATGTATCAAATCGCCAGACCCCCAAAATGGTGATTTCCTTTCGGTGTCCCTTAAAAAAGGTGCGAACGGAGCTGTAAAAACAACCGCACACAAGCTTTGCTCCAACTGCAGGTGGCTCTCAGGCATTCTCAGGCGTGGACATTCCAGGAGCGACTTCGACTGACCTTCAGTCAGCTCCTGGAGGGTCTGCTTTTCACCGGTCAAATTCGCTTCAAAGGAAACTGAGTGATCAATGAGTCGTATATCAAACGCGGAGTCAGCCGAGTCTGTCAAAAACAATGTATGGACCTGCAAATGCGGCCGCACTGATTTGTGACTCTCCAATTACCCGCTTGACTGTGGCTGAAACGATGCCATATGTTCAGCAGACGTGGCTGCTCATCAAACGCCGGGCCTCAATACCGTCCAGCTCACAAGCGTTGAGAGCGGCGCTCAGCGCTTGCTCGACTGCAACGCCCTGCGACAGACTCGCCAGTTGGCACTCAGACCCACAAGGCTCTGTTTAGACATGTTCTCAAAGTTAGGGGCCCGTCAAAACCCCAGCCTTTGCTTCCATGAAAGCCAAACCATGCTTGGCACGGAGCTCGCCGCCTGCAGCTGTTGCCACATGTCTTTCGTCCGCCCTCCTGGCACCTCACAGATGCCAACGGATTGCGATGTGAGCCAATGTGGTCCAAATCAGGGCTTTGTTCGTGTTCCAATCGCTGTTTTTGTAGGTTTTGTCCAGGGGTCCCGGTTGCCACGCTGTTTGACACTGGGGCTAGTGTCAATTTTTGAGGGTACCCCTTCTTTTTGCATTTTGGCGGGAAAGCAACAAAGAAAAAACATTTTTTGGGGGGTCCCCCAAAAAGGCGCACCCATGTGGGTGCGTCTCTTTTGTGAGGGGGAGGTTTTAAAATGAAGCCGCAAGGAACACCGCCATTTTTTTGCGTGGGGTCCCACAAAAAAAGACACACCCATATATGCATCTGGCCTTGCCCCCCCAGCCACTAAACTTGTGCACAGTAAGCTTGACAAGAATCTTCAGGTCCCGGGCCCACTCAACTAGCATCAGGCTGCTCTTCAAGCGTCGCACCTACGAATACTGTAGGCGGGCGGCACTGAGTGTGCCAGTGCTCTGCACAACTCAGATATCAAGGAATCAAGGCTCAGCTTTCAGGTTTTGGTTGACATGTTCTGAGCTTGCGGTCAGTGTGAGACCAAAAACTGGCCGACTGAGCCGCTAGCACTCTTCAGTCGCCACTGCTGTCGCAAATAGTTCCTGCCATGATAAAACAAGGACTAAAGCCTGCTGCGGTCTGGTTTAAATTTGACCCATAACACCCATCTCATGACAGTTGCATAGCCTTTGACGTCGTCTTAATTGGCCGGCTCTGCTGGGATGCCAAGAGCCACTGGGGGAAGTTCAGGCACTTTTGTGCCTGCGCCCATGTCTTTTTTCCGCCAGGCGAGGCCTTCTAAGGCTCGCCTGCAGCAGCTTGCCGTTGAACACGGAAAGTCCATCACCTTGGTTGGTGAGTGTGGCCCAAGCCATCCCCTTTACTGTGGAGCGCATTTCATGGAAAGTGCAAGGACAGTGCTGCGTAAAAGCCAAGTTCTGGACAGCATCGGTAAAATGCGTGGTCGTGGAGGTTCGGCTCGTGGGAAAGCAGCTCTGGATTCCAAGCAACTTCACCTGAGATTCTCAAGGGAGCAAGGACAGGCAACTGGGCAGTTGCCTTCATCCTCTCTGGAATACTTCTGGTCGACAGCTGATTCCTGATCGCGGAGACTTTGAGCCACGGTCAGTTTCCCCAAAAGGACATAGTGAGTATTATGGCTTTTGTGGGAAAATTTAATAAAGTCCCTTCACGGACAAAATGCAACCCATCTGCTAACCACTTGTTGGCAACCTCTCCTCCTCATCTTCACGCTCGACTTCCTCTTCCTGCTCCTGCTCCTCCTCTTGCTCTTGCTCTTGTTCCTCCTCCTGCTCTTCCTCCTGGACCTGCACGCGCCGTGAACATCTACTCACCCACCACAGCGGAGCTTTCCCCCAAGGAGCCTGCTCCTGATCCATCTTGCCGCCTCGCTTACGCATTCCTTTGGCCAGCGCGGCAGCCTGGCAGTGTGCAGCTGGTCGTTTGTTTTGTGCGCATGCATCCTGATGCATCGCTTGCAACTTGAAGTGGAGTCCGTACTCAAGAAGTGTGCTCCCATGCTTTGGGCGCAACCGCCCGATTTGCCAGACGCAGGTTTGTTTTCGCTGCTCCAAAGTGAGCTCTCGTTTTCGTCTTTTTGGTCTTTGGTTGTTTGTCTTTTGGGGCCTCTTCTCCCCAGCTTTTGCTGATTCGGTCGCATTCAACTGCACAGTGGGCTGGGTTCCCGCCAAGGCTAGAGCTCGGTGCTGCTTCCAGTTGGAGCCAATTGGCCGTGGGTCAAAACCCCGTACCCCCAGTGAACATCCCAATCCCCACTAAAATAGACCAAAATGGGTGGTGCACCTATCCCAAAATGGTACCATTGGCGTGGAAGCTAAAGGAGGAAAAAAGGCGCAGCTGGTCATCAGCGTCTCAAGGCATAAAGTGTGTCTTTTGTTTTGGAACCCCTGTTTGGTTTTCACCGACATAGAATCGCTCCACTTTGGGATCCCCGTTTTCTTTTGAGACACCCAGCCTCTTCAATATAGTGATTGCCAATGGCTTGCACCTCTGGGGTGAGCCAGTGCGCGTTTGCCTGAGTTCACTCAGGGGGTTCCAACACTTTGGCTGGTCGCTTTCCTTTTGGACCTGGTGCCGCCTTTTGGTGCCGCCTTTTAAAGCTAAGGAGGCCGCTCGCAGCCTTTCCGCCAGGCGCTCGCTCAATGTTTGTTCCTCGGACAAGAAAAAACAAGCACCACAATCTAGCCGCCTGTCCAAATTGGTGTGCTCCATTGCGTTCCTCTCCTCAAGAAGTCGGTCAGGATCGTTGGGGATGACCTTGACAGAGTGCTAAAAACCTCATGTTACATGTCTGAGCGGCTGCAGTCTCAGCAGCAAGCATCTTCTCGTGGCGTTCGAAGCACTGTCAAACTTGCAGAGATGCTCAGGCCTGACGCGGCCTGCAGCAGAATTCCAAAAAAACACGTCCAATAGCAACCGATTTTGGGTACGTGTCAAAATACGGATTTGTACCCACAAATGGCAGCTTTCCTTTTGGTTTCCCTTAAAACCAGTCCAAACCAACCCCACAAATGGTATCCTCCAAAGAACACCCCATTTGTTCGCACGTTGCGCGTTGTATGCGCCTCTTGACCTTGCACCACTTCCCAAGCTTTGCTCCTAGAGCGGCAAGCACGACAGGTATGAGTTGGTGGCTGATCCTAGAATTCAAATCGGGTTTCGTCCATGAGTGCGAAGTGGATTTGTCGACAGTGATCGTTTCACTTCAGTGCTCCTCCAAAGCGCTTCCACATTCTGCTCGCACAACAGCGCGAATTGCTTGATGTCACTTTCCAGCGTGTTGCCGCCTTTGCTACGAAGGCCAAAATAGAAAGCGAAGCGCTTCGTGCCCCACAAAGTGTGCGCCTGTCCAACGAAGAGCGGCTGCCAACGCTTTGTTGTGCTCCTCGCTGTCTGCCTGACATTCACCGGCAGTGGTGGAAGTGCATCCTGCATCTGCCCTCGCTCACGCAAACGTTACATTGCGGATTGAAACATTCATGATTGGGAACCATCAAACAGCTCGAGGCACCGTGACATGCGTGCTTTGGGGCGTAGGTGTTCCAGCCGGGCGGAAGAAGTCGAACTCCTGAGTCAGCCGCTGCTTTCCGCCTCTGAGAGGCGCTTAAGTGCTTCTGAGCTTCTGATAGCGAGTCCAAACCAAAGAGTGGCCTTGGCGCATGCAGCATTTCAACTAAGCGACGGGCTTCCAAAGCGACGGGCTGGGGCTGGCCGCCTGTTTGAAGCACAGGACCTCCGGAAACCATGTGCTGCGTGCAACGAGCTAAGCCCCAAAGAGGAACCCAAATAGCTGACTACGTGGCTACTCAAGCAATGCCAAGAACTGAACTAGTAAGCTCTGGGCAGGGTTGACTTTCGAGAGGCGGGCATTTAGCATCCAAACGTTCCAATCTGAGGCTATCTGGAGCCAGAGCCAGTTAAGGCCATCGCTGAGTGAGATCAAGTCCTCGCTCACATCCACGCCTTTCAGTCGCTGAGCATGGCATGGCTGCATAGCTGCCGTGCAGTGAACTGAAGCCGGGGCCAGTTCCGCTTGCTTTGGCCGGCACCTCTTCCGGCTCCTGCGGAGCTCCCTTGGCTCCACACAGCGGTGGCGCGGTCCGGCACGCGCACTTCCCACTGGAAAGCGTGAGCGCCAGGCCATCAAATGTCGAATCTCTGGAGGCACCAGCCTTTGGACTGGGCAGTCGCATTATTTTTGGTCCCTTCTCAGATGCCGGCAGGTGAAGTGTCTGCGCCTCAGCTTCCAAAACGCTCGCGCCGGCATTCTCCAGAAGCTGAGCTGGGTACCCCTGGGCCAAGGCCACGCATTCGAAAGGCTGCCTGACCAACGATGCATTCGTATGGGCAACAAATACAACTCACATTGCCTGTGCATAGTCTCGCCAAAGCATGTCTTTGCCTGAGAGTCGCTGCAACTTGCAGCTTGAGGCTTCCAGGACTGGGGCTGCCACCAAGAGTGAGCGCCGCTCGTGCATATGGAGCTTGGTGGACATCCAAGCCAGTCGTATGCACATGGTCGTAGAACCTGCAGCCGATTCTCACAGGAACTCGTGGATTTGAAACTATTCTTATATGTTCAGTGAACCAGTGGGATTGCTGCTCATGCATTTGTTTGGCTTCCGTGTGTTGAGCTCAGCAGGGCTACTACTCATGAGAGGCGAAGCAGAAAGAAGCTGCAGCCTCAAGAAAGGCAATGTATGTTTGACAAACCCGCCTGTCAAACACGAGTTGTCTGGGACAGCTCAAGGGCAACCGCCAATTTCCCGGCTTGGAAGGAACTCTTTGCAGCTTGACACTCGGCTGAATATGAATACGCCCCGTTTCGCCCTGGAGAACTTCTAACAGCAAATGAAGTTATTCTCTCAAACTTTGGTGACCGGCAAATGGTTTCGGTACGCTTGGCCTCTCACAAACCAAAAGGGGGTTGGCTCCAAAGACACGAGCTCCGTGGCTTGTGACTGAGGAGTTGACGTAAATCTTCGCGAAGGCGACAGTCCACAGTCAGACAATGGCAGAATTCTGCGATCCTGACGGGAAACCGACGTTGCAAAGCGAAGCGGCGAATTTCAACAGGGAAATTCGTCAACAATGGTTGGTACAACTGATACAAGCTTCCCCATGGTGTCCACCAACGGGTCCCGGAAATTCACACACGCACACATCCACCTGATTGCATGCCTGAGTGGCTGGCACGAAGCAGTACCACAGACTCGTCAGCTTCCGTCAGGAAGACTACGCCAAGAAAAGATTCAGGAAGCCACCTAGCCCGAGCATTGGCGTCGATCCTCCACGGGAAACAACTCCTTGTACGGGGATGATGGCGTTTTTGATGTCCTTCGAAGATTGATGGGCATTGTGATTGACTCTACTTGAACACTTTTGACCCATGGCACACAGACTTACTGATAAGTTTGGAGCTCCAGCAGCTTCGTTGCTGCCTTCAGAGTTGGCGCAGCCAAACTATTACCCAACTGGTAACATCAGATTCACGGTAAGCACAGCGCTGCAAAGTTGGAGAGGCCAACAATCAGCGCCCCTGCGTCGATGAGCCTCACAGCCAAGATAGCAAGCTTAGGTTGGCGTTTGCATCTAGGCCAATCACGCGTGGAAGTCTCCCCGTGCAGCGCGTTGCAAGAGCCACAGGGGGTCCTGGCAGACGTGCAGATAAAGAGGTAGGCAAAGAAGCAGGCCAGCCGGGCAAACATGCAGGCAAGGAGAGCTTCCCCCGTCTGTTGGCTCGGATCGCCCCACACTGTGATTTGTCAGATGACTGGTTTGGAAATCAACGCCCCTTTGATTGTTTGTCTAACTTGGATGTGTGGTCCCCAAACCTTGTCACTAAGCGGCTTTGCTGAAACTGCTGAAATATCATTAGTGCAGTGGTAGAAACCTAAAGCTTGCTGATGTCCAGGTTCCATCCTACAGGAGTCAACTCGAAACATCTCGAAATGTCAGTCGTGAATTCTTGACACGGGTACAGTAGAACTTGGATCTCCAGCCACTCCACTGCAATCTTACACGAGCTTCCATTTAATGCATCGATCTCTCTCATATTCAAAAATGCTGACATCCGTGCTGAATCTGATTTCGGGATGGATGGATGCATGTGTCTGTCGGAAGCACCACACCAACATAGGTCATTCAACATGTCGAGTAGCAAACAACAACATATTATGTGAAACAATATCGCTGCAGACCGCACGACGCCACCACAAATGCTCGCAGCATGGAAGCTAAATAATCAGCATATCTTGCCACTCCTTGCCTCTCACACTGCAAGCAGGGCTGGCGCACCCAGCCCACAGGCAGCGTCTCTGTGTGCATGACTACCTCTCCGCGCTTTGCAGAAGAAACCCGCACAATCATCACAGCCCCTGGAACATGCCAGGTTCGTGCTTCACGATTTGAGGGTGGGGCCACGCAGTGGTTCAAACAAGTGACTCTGTGCGCATGCGGTTGTCTCAAATTCCTTCATCTTCGCGACAAAATGAGAACTTGCCTGATCATGGAGCTGTTGCGGTGGCTCGCGCATCGGCATTGTTTTTTTTAGAGGTTCAGGGCTTATACACTGCTGGGGAGGCTACGCGGGGGGCTTCGCGGGGCCAGAATTTGTGGAAGGGTTGGCTTCGCAAGGCTTCGCGGCAAGACTGTGGCTTCGCGGAGTGGCTTTGCCGGGCTTCGCGGATGTTTGTTCCACAAACATCTCTGACGTTTGCCCCCCATGTTGTTGAATCAAGTTGAGTCCATGCGAAAGGGGGCGAGGAAAGGCGGCAAGAGAGGCATTGAGCTTCAGGACTAGGGACATGGCTAGGCCTCAAAGGGGCGGAGCATGGAAGTTGGACCGCGGTGGCTTCGCGGAGGCTTCGCGGAGGCTTCGCGGGGGCTTCGCGTGTGCTTCGCGAAAATGCTCCATCGTTTCTAGCAAAACCGGGCCTGACACGCACAGTGCTCTTCCGGTCGTCTTCCCGTAATCTTCCTGTAATCTTGTCGTAGCCTGCTGACTCTAAACATCAACCTTTGGAAGCGCACAACACACTTGCCATGAAAGCACGCAATACACTCAAACCACGAAGTGGCTTCGCGAAGTGGCTTCGCCTGTGTCAATGTTACCGGGCTACGCGAAGTGGCTTCGCGGGGCTTCGCGGTACACAATGTATCGCATAAGTGCCTTCGCGGAGCTTTTGGGAGTTCCCCACGAAGCTAAAATCCATCATCTGAGAAAAATACACTGCTCAATTTGAGGGGAACCGTTGGCCACCCATGTCCAAACAGACCTCCTGGAGGGGAGGTCCGACTTTCGCGAAACTTTCGCGCATCTTGCACAACACATTACCAAAATTCCGGCTGGACAGTTGCGCGCAACTGGACCCAAATGCTGCAAAACCCCAACAAGCTGCTTTCTGCTAGGGGTTGATTTTGCAGCGACGTATTTTTTGTGGCAATCCTCAACCTGTGCTCCGCCCAACATTAGTCTGTGCGTTCTGCACGCACTGCCGGAAAATATTCATTTAGCAAACCACCCTTAAACAACACTTTCGCGAACAAAACACAACTTTCACGACCTCCATCGCACCGTTACTAAGACCAAAAGGTCGTCCCCTTCACATCTGAATATATCTGAATGCAAGGACCTTTCGGACGGCTCCCATGCGTGGCCACACTTTTGTTTTCCATGTCTGGGCCCGCTTGCCTTAGGGTTGAGCAGCGTGCTCAAGATCTTGGCATCGCAGCCTTGCTCGTAGTGAATGGGGCCCATGCCTCAGTGAGTCACCGCAAAGCTTCGCTGCCCCCATGCTTCAAGCTGCTCAAGGCCATGGCTGGCAGGCAACACTTCCGAAGGCGTTCCGCTGAAGCCAAGTCGACGACCTGAACTGCAAGCCATCCAACTGGGATAGGATGCCAGCCGTAGCCCAAAGGTCGGCACTGAAAAGAACGCTGCTTCCAAGCTCCTGTGGCCCGCTCTGCCTCTCAAAGCGGCCAAGGGCATACCCTCTTTTCTTACAGCTCCCAGTAGAGTTTCCATCTCGGACAGACCCTATCATGCAATACTATTGTAGTGACCTATCGCCGTCCTGCGCGGTGCAGGACAGGAGGGAGTCGCTGAGGCCCATGACACCGGGGAAGACCTGGCAGACATTGGCCACCCACTAAGCAGAGCTGAGTATTGAGACAAGGACGTGTTCGTACAAGTAGTGCCGCACCTGCATGCTTGCTTGGCAGCTCCAGGGTCAGTTGGGGTATAGCAGGCTGCAAAGCTTGGATAAGGTTGGCGCCGCCCCGGAACATCGCCAAAGCAGGCGCCAAAGTTGATGGACCTGCCAGTGTGCATCCTGTTTGCATCTGGGTAAACCAAGTCTAGTACCGGCCTGCTGTTTGTCCTTCAGACTAACACGCTCCAACGGCCAAACATTGCTGCGCAGCCTCAGCAAATACTTGCTCTACATGGCCAATGGTATCTGCATGGGCAAACTATTCTTTTTGCAGTTCACTGATCTCGTTTTCAACTTCGCAGGCTTGTTGCAACTTGCACAAATGTGAGGTTTTGTTTACTGGCCGAACATGCCGTGGCAAAATTCGATAGGCCCCTATCGGTTTTCAATTGTTCTCACAGCGCGCGACAAATGGTCAGAACTCTGGAACAAACAGCCAACTACGGCGAGCTTCTAATTAGAGGCACGACAATTCGGAGCTTCGGATGAAGTTTCGCAAATTGTCCGTAGCAAGGTAGCACACAAAGTGCACTTCTGCAGCTTCGGCTGGAAAGCCGCAGTTGTTCAGCTCAAAAACAATACAGCGGCTGGACGATTGCAACTTTTCAGCACACAGGTAGAACAAAGCACACTTCCGGAGGAACGTGACCACTTTGCAGTGCAAAAGTACGCCGAAAGTGCGCTTCCGAGCCCCGGCTGGTTTGAGCAACTTCTCCATGCTCATCAGTGATTTTGCTCTGCTGCATGCTTTGCCAAAGCTGCGTTAGCCTATGGCATTTGTTCAAATAACTTGCTACTTTTCTGACCAGAATGCATCATCATCTTCTTGGAGTACGCATTTTCTGTCAGGTATCTGGAGGGTACCGGTTTGGGTCTGCGATGCTTTTTGGGGCACAAATGGCTCCAAGGTGTTGCAGCTGTTTCTGCCTCCACCATCCCCGCCACGCCAGTTTGCGCTATGAGACTTTGAAATCCGAAAGGCATGCCTGAACGTATTGGTCTGTCATTTTTGCAATTCGGTTCTCAGATTTGACTAACCGTATTCATTCACTTTGGTCGGCTAATCACATGGCATCTTCGGAACAAGCTCAGGTCAATGCTCTTCAAGCCCTTCTTCCAGTGCCACTTGGTGAGCAGGAGCAGCATCCAGGCGCACTTCATCCTCGCGGATTCAAGACTGGCTCCAGTAGATGCTATCTTTGGCATACCCGCTAAATGGTATAGTTACTCAAGAAGGCGATTCCTTCGGCATGTCTGCGAGGAGGCGCCCGGCCTCACTTCAATGCTTGCAGCATCGCAAACAAGCACCTCGTCAAATATGAGGAAATGGTCAAAGTGTCCTAGATCATACATGCATCATAGAGAAAACAATGCTAACCCAACAAGGCCTGAAGTATGCCCATCCTTCAAGCACAGTACCAAAGGTGGCTTGCTTGTGGAATGCTGCGACCTGGGGCCCAAGCCCAACTAAAGCCGGTAACACGGCCTCCAGCCTCCTTCACCCATGACACCCAGCGCAAACAGGTGGGCCTCACGACGAGGATGGCAGTCTGTGTGTCTCCATTTGAATAGCCTTTGCGGTCCTCAAATGACTCTGCTTCAGTGGTTTCCCCTTTCTTTTGTTTCTCTTCGTTTTACTTCAACTATTTAGCTACTGATATCTCTCACTCCCCCTCGTCTCTTCTTTACTTCCCCTTCGGCTTTTTCCCTCCCTTTGCTTCTCCCAACAAATTTTGCTGATTTTTCCCCTTTCCCTTCCCCGTCTCTTCCCTTTTGTCAGCGCCCAAAGAGGGCCCTGTACCGACATGGGGCTTGATCAACAGGTCCTTTGCACGGGATGACCATTGTATATTGTGGACAACCACGAGCAAGATTATTTTCCCCACTAAATGGGACAAGGTACCCATTGTCCTTTGGGGGCCAATCTTGATCCACCCTGCTCACCAAGCAACGCTCGCTTTCCGCGCGCCTCCTGGCGTGCGGCCCTCGCTCCTCGTCCATCTCCGCGCGCAGGAGCTTTAGGAGCAGCAGGAAATCCTGACGCTTCTTCAGCTCAGAGGATCTCCGACTTTTGACATATGCCCATGGGTCAAAACCTCGCACCCCCAGTGAACATCCCAATCCCCACCCTGGGCTTCCAAGGCCTCCTTGTGTTAGGCCTGGGCCTTGTTTTGTTCCAGAGGCCTTGAATCGGGTGTGCAGAGGCCTCCAAAAGTAAGGGCAAAGGCCTCGAAAAGGAAGGGACCACATTCGCTACTTCCAAAACCCAACCTTTTGCTTGGGCCAACTGCAGCCTTCGTGCAAGAGCGTGGCGTTTGTTCCACGAAAAATGCAGGGTCGCCGAAACTGCCTCCAAAGGAAAGCATAGAATCGTAACTCCACTGGAGTTCGTCCGTTTAAACAACTGCCTTGGAGCAAAGCAATGCGAGGTAAAGATGTCAGATATTGAGAGCACAAAGGACAACATGTAGCGATATCGTGGGTGACGCACCATATGCGGCCAATGTAAAACCATGTTTTTTGGGCAAGGAATAAGGGGCCAAAGGCCTCGAAAAGGTGTGGATACTTACCATGGATACTTCCGGGTTTACAAAACAAGGCCTCTTGACAAATCAAGGCCTCTTTCCAGAGGCCTCCTTTAGACAGGCCTTTTGAAACGCAGGGCACTGCCATATCCCTGTTTTTTGAGGCGTGGTACCCGCTTTTCCTACTTTGCAGTTTTTGTTTGAGGCCTGGTTTGACACATACCCAAATGTGTACCCGTACCCATATTGTTGGTACACGAGAAGTGTAGTGGGCCAAACCAGCACAGCAGGAGCCCCCAATCGATTGGGTTCCATGGCTACTCATGGTATGTCTTTTGGAATATGGGGTCCTTTGAAAGGGAAACCAAAGGAGAACCTATTTCGACGCCGAACTTGGCTTACCCGATGGGAATTGAGTGTCTTAATAAGTCAACTTTCAAAACTATCCTGGGGCTTAAGATGTACAGCCAAGACCTTTCAGCACTTCGGGGCAAGAAGGAAAAAACAACACTAAGCAACCTCTGATGCTTCCGTCTTTTGTTTACTTTTGTGTGGCTTGTTCTTTTCTGTATTCTGTTGTTTTTCCTCGGTCCTGCCG